CGGCGACAACATGGTTGCCACACAGCCTCCCAGGCCGAGACGATGGGTGGTGACGAGGCGGTCACGGTAAGGAGACGGCGGCAATATAGCCGCCAGACCGCCATTCAGACCCAAACGACTGGCGGCGATGAGGCTGCGACGGGGCGGCGACGGCGACAACATACCCGCCAGACTGACCACCCATGCCCAGACGACGGGCGGCGACGAGGCGGTGACGGTGCGGCGACCACGCAGGGTCAGTCCCATTAGACAAACAAGTCAGAATCCCTAAGTGCAAGCACTGCTTGGGAAATGTTAAGCAATGCCAAGCAATGCGAGTAAAACAATGCACGTCAATGTAACTCAACGGCAAGTAGCGCAACGCAGGACAACGCAACGCGATACAATGCGTTGCCATGCAAAGCAACGCGAAGCAATGTAAACCAATGAACAGCAACGCAGAGCAAACAGTGCAAAGCAATAGAAAGAGAAGCAATGAACATCAACTCAGAGAGACAAGACACTACAGCTCAATGTGAACCTGTGCAAAGCAAAGCACAGAAAGCAATGCAAGTCAATGCAATGCAATGCAACTTAGCGCAAAGCAACGCAACGCAACGCAAAGCAATGCAACGTGACGCAAAACAATGCAACGTAGCGCAAAGCAATGCAAAGCGATGCGTTGCAATGCAAAGCAACGTAGAGCAAAGCAACGCGGCGAAGAAGACCAATGAGCTTCAACGCGCAGGAAACACATCGCAAAACAATGCACCTCGATGTGGGTCAGTGCAAAAGCAACGCACAGAAAGCAATGCCAGCCAATGTAATGCAACGCAAAAACTAGCAAAGCAACGCGAAGTAAGGCAACGCAGTGCAAAGCAATATGTTGCAACGCAAAGCGACACAACAAAAGACAATGCGGCGACGGGGCTGTGCGTGGCGACGACGCGGCGACGGGGCGGCGACGGCGACGGGTCGGCGACGGCAAAAATCAAGGCGGCGGACCCGACCTGCTGGCCCAGACGACGGGCGGCGACGAGGCGGCGACCCGGTGGCGTCGGCGACCGTTGTCCTGCGGTTGTCCCGTGGTGGTCCCGTGGCTGTCACGTGGTCGTCCCTTGGTTGTCCCCCGAGGTTGTCCTGTGGGTGCCCCGCACTTTTTACTTCTGTTGTCCCATTGCTATGCGCGGTTCGTCGAGTGAGACCGAATACTGAGACCGATAGAGGGACAGTGGCATCGATCGTCAGATCGATCGTGGGGCAGATGGCAAGATCATGGGGCCAAAGCGCACTTACCCGTTACGGCAGCTAATCAGCTTGAGCAATGACGGCAGGAAGTCTCCGAGCGGGACCCCTTGCCTCCCGTAGATTTGGACTTACTGGGGTCCTCCCTGGTGTACAATTAATCGTATGTAACCAATTTGGGAATACCACCTATCCCCCTATAAATTCACAAGGGGGAAATCTCCCTGCCGCTTCCAAGAAACTGTAAATGCATCCAACACAAAGAGCAAATCACTCCCAGACTCCTTACCCCAAGGCCCAGACATGCAAATGTTAGCCAATACGAATAGAGTTTCGCAACGGGGATGTAGTCAGATCGGTTGATAGAGGGCAATGGCGATAGATAGAGTGATAGTGCAATATGTATATGAGCAGTCGTATTGACAACAGCCTGTATCGGCGAACAGACAGTGGCATTGATGGGTATGTTTGTCGTGCCATCGAGAGGGTAGCAACACAAGTAGAGACCTAGCTCGGGTCATACATCGTAAGATCAATGCGTATGTCTATATATATACACTCACGTTGGCTGTGAAATTGTTCGGTTGGTATCATGGCCGATCGGGAATGATACTGATATGTGTACAACTCTGCACGTGTGTTTGTGTAAATTGACACGTTGCGATAGCGCTTGATAAATGGATTGTGCGGTGTGTACGAACAAAGTGAGGCCGGTATATGGCTAGATCGGCAGATCTATGGTAAGATCGGCAAATACATGAATAACGGGGTCAGTGGATACACAGCGAGGCCGACACGTAGTGAAATGCATACATCGGTTGGTAATGCGATGGTTGGATACATGAAGTGTCCGATCGATGGCTAACCAGGTACATAGATAGGGAGGTCGGCAGATTTATTGAGAACGATTTTCCTATACACCTGGTGAGACCGATGGATGGTGGTATTGGCTGCTATGTTCATATGTATGTATGCGCATATGATTAGATTAAGTTGTGCATGCGTTCCGATAGATAGTGGTATCGATCTGTAGATCGACAGTGAGACCGTTCGATCGGGCGTGGGACTGATGAGTTGTTAGCTCGATATGTACACCGTGGCGTCGTCAGATTGATCGTGAGGTCGACATGTGGATTCGCACTTGGACCGGCAGACTTGTGATGAGACTGGTACATCGATGCATCGACACGTTAATAGGAACATCGGCAGTTGCAGGATTCGGTTGAGTGGTTCGCAGGGTGACCGACGGAAAGGTAGTTGGACGAATAGACGGTGAGATCTACAGGTCGATTGTTTATAGTTTTTGTTATAGTTGAACGCTTCTGCGCACAACTATAGCGCGAACCAAATCCGACGTCAACGGTAAACCGCACGCGCACGCACCCCCCCATGTTCCTAATCACCCGAGGTCTCGTCATATGTGTTAAAACAACGAAGGAGGGGGAGGGGATGGTTGAGGACGGGAGGGACGAGGAGGAAGGGGAAGATGAGGGATAAGAGGAGCAATGTGGTTTGGCCGCGCGGTCCCTATGAGCTCAGGGCACCGAAATTCTCACACAAGAGAACTTAGGCGTGGGGCGGAAACCAAGAAGGCGAGCCAAGCCCCGGGCGGCCCGAAGAGGCGGAGGGGGTAGGAGGGAGAGAGAGAGAGAGAGAGAGAGAAGAGGCGCCGGATGAGAGGAGCAGCAGCGGTAGCAGCCGTAAAGCGTTGGTAATATTTGAGCGGGGGCAGGAATGACGAGGAATTCGAGGAGGCGAGTGGGAGAGGGAGGAGGGCAAGGAGTCATGTTTTTGCGGCCGCGGTCAGAGATGTAGAAGCATTAGGTGGTCGGCCATGCCTTGCTTGAAAATCATACGAGAGCCAACCATCGCATCACTACACGGGCCTGATGTGGGCCGCATTCTTTCAATACTGATGAGGAAGTGGTGTCCTTGGCCCAGGTCTGGCACCACCATAGGCCGCTTGACGAGCGTTTTGGTCGATATCGAGGTAGCCTTCGAGCTTGCATGAGCCGTCCGTGGGAAAGGAGGGGCCTGCCGAGGCTGCATTGTAGCCGTGAGAGGAGAGGACTATATTGCAGGCTCTGAGGGCCGTCTGGTGGCCCTCGTGGACTCGTCTTATAGCCGACTGGGAACGTTTGGAGCGGTCTTGAGTCGTTATGGGACCATCTGGGATCCTGGCTGACAGTCTTGTCCTGGTAGCGCGTGGATCTATACTTAATCGTTGAAGTTTCCTCGCGTGGGCCTTCTCGGTTTCCAATCCCACCGGACCTCGGGGCGTAGGTGGTTTAGACTGCTTTCTGCTCTGGCTTAAGTATTCCGTTTCGGGAAGGGAGGTGCCCCTCATCATACCTCCTTTCCCCGGGTCGGGAACAGAGTTCGGGGATGTGTCCGAATATTTGGGTCCCAAGATGTTTCCAGGAGGGCCTCAAATAGCTCAACATGGTCTGCAAGATGGCATGGTAGATCGCTTCCAACAGGCCTCCAGGAACCGCCACGACCGCCACAAGGCGTATCCGAGTGGGCACGGAGCTCCACAACGATATTTCCAATAGTTAAAATCAGTGCACAACTTCAGGTGTTCCAGTCTTTTTTTCGATGCTTCAAAATGGCTCCGAGATCGCCCAAGAGGGCTCCTATAGAGGGAGCCAGCAGGGGCTCCAAGACAGCGCAAGATCGCCCAAGAACGCCCCAAGATTGCCCCAAGAGGCAATTACTCTGGTTCAATGGGAGGCAGCTAATTGGCGCCACAAATGTTCACAAACAGATTCATCGGACGACCCTGGGTGTTTGAGTGCTTATTGTCTTTCGGGGGCAAACTTAGGATTCGTGCAATATGGCTCCAATGTGGGCCACGATTCCTCAAGATGGCTTCCAATATGGCCCAAGTTGGTCAAGAGGGCCCCAACACGGACGCAATACGGTTCCAGGACACCTCCAAGAGGGCACAAAACGGCCCCAATACAGTTTCAAGTGGCCTAGGAGCTTCCTAACCACGCCCTCACGCAAAGGCAAACACCCTATCAGCAATAACATAAAACAATGTTTATTCAATGAGTTTGGCCTTCTCCGAACTCGTTTCCGATAGGGTTCTGAGGCCCAAAGATAGCTCCAATAGAGCCCCAAGGTTGAGCAACCTGGGCTGCAAGACGGCCACAAAGGTCAAGTCCTGGAGCCTGCTCAGGATGATTCCGAGCTTTGATTTGACAGTTGCCCCCCCCTTGGTTCAGTGCTTGCCCCTACATGCCCCTGGTCAAGGCAACTCGCCTGGGCCTCGTTTCTGGATGTGCTGGTGGGGATGCGTAAAGCGTCAAGACTTTGGACTGCGGGTGGAGAATTTGGGGATACCGTGCGCGCAGCTTGGGGCCACCTTGACTTGTGATCGGATAAGCAGGGCGAGGAGGAGGAGCAAGGGACGACGCCGAAGATGAGGAGCGGGGGGAAGCGGGAGCACGTGGCCGTGTTGGTTGAGAACGTTGAGCTGGCCTTGTTCGGAGGGAGCAGCAGGGGCGATGGGCCGATTTTCCACAACCACTACCGTAGGCGGGTGGGGGAGGAGGCGAAGGAGAGGGGGAAGAAGGAGGAGGAGGAGGAGGAGGAGGAGGAGGAGGAGAAGGAGGACCTCCCCATCCTCCCCTCTCTCCCGTGCTACCTTCTGTAGTGGTGGTGGCAAAGAATCCCATCAAGGGGGGAGCATAGGAGGAGGGAAGCCACGTGAAGGTCTCCGATGCACTGGCGATGCTGTGCCCGGCACCCATGCCACCCTCCGCCTCGAGAGGCGGCCCGGGACATCGCGCATCCGTCTGCGAGCGAGATTATCCAGCGGGGGATGAACTACCTGCACCTATGCTGCAAGGCGCCCTCGGACGGGCCCCACGGGCCTCTTCTCGCAGAAGAGAAGACGGCACAAACATACATGTTCGACGCTCCTTTCGGATTTCTTGGATTTGCGTTGGCCCCCCTGGCGACGCCTTCGGCGCCGCCCCTGGCGTGCTACGCGCGCCAGTGAGGGGGGTCCAGTGCAGATCCAAAAAATCCGCACGGACCGTCGAAGGTGAGTGTTAGGTTTTTGTTCTTCCTCTAATCTCGACGCTGGCTAGGGACACCGTGGACGGCCACGACGGCTGCTGGACATTGTTGCAGGTCCCAGCAGGGAGTCTTCGATTCTCGCAGCGTTGCTTCCACCGTCACTGCCGCGCCGCGCACGGCTTCTTGAGGCAAATCGCCGAGTCCAGCGCCGATTGCGCTGCCGGCCCGTGCTTCTGAGATGCTGCATCGGCATGGCCTTGCAACTGACCACGCATGCCCTTGCGCATGCCTTCAAAGAGGGAAAACGTGCATAACCATAAACTTTCGGAGTTCCGCGCGGATCTCTTGGATCGGCGCTGGAACCCCCCCAGCGGCGCCTCCGACGTCGCCATGGCGCGCAAGGGCCCAGCACCGATCCAAGAAATCCGCTCGGAGCTCCGAAAGTTTATTTTTATGCAGTTGTTATTCCTCGAGGCGTCGCGATCGGGTCTGGTTGGGCACCTCCCGCCGTCCGCGGGCTGCTGGTCCGTTGCGGGCAGCACGGATCGCGTGATGCGCGCTTTCCGTTTGCATTGTGTCCCCCTGTTCGGGGGGGATCCCAGCTGTCCCGCGGGCACAGTTTGTAGAGCTGCTTCGACTGCTCTAAATTGTACACGGGTGCGGTAAGCTCGCGTCGTGTCCACCCCCGCAGCGACCCCGCCGCCAGCGTACAATGTTAAATGCCGCTGGCGACCCAGAATCGATCGATGTTGACTGGTCTGACGTTTCGGAGACGGCCGATCGTTCAAGTTCGAACGATCCCCACGGTGTCAGGAACCAACGCTGGATTCGACACGACACGAGCCCGCCGTACGCGAATGCCAGATGCCCCCCTAGACCCTAGACGGCAGGTCTGAGGCGGTTCAGTGTGGCGGTCCTAGCGGCACTGCTCATCGAAATGCGAGTGGTGGCGCACAACTGCTTGCATCAAGGATGCCCCCCAGGTCCTTCGGTGGGTCTTGGAGCTTCCGCGTCTGCTCCAGTGGTCCCGGTAATCAGGGTATAGTGAGAGGGGGTCTCCATGCATCCGATGTGGTATGGCATTGGTGATTCGGGTAGTGTCGTATGCCTTGCCGCGTCCGAAGTGGCCCCGATGGTCCCCGTGATGGCCCCAGACGGTGGAATCGAGGCGGCATGGCATACATGTAGATTGGCACATCGTGTGGCCACCACTATGGCAACCTGGAAGTGGTTCGCGTGACCCAAGTGATATTCCCAGCGGTCGGTGCGTCGGCATTCTTAAACAAGCTGCTTTGTATGCGCCCATGCGTCAGCATAGTGCGTGCATTGTGCACGCTCGTACATCAGGAGTGGAACCAAAACGTGTTACACCCTTGCGTGCGCCCCCCAGCCCTCTTCTCAGGGAGAAGGAAAGGAGCGGACATGGGACGAGGCCCGCTCTGGCTTGCTGGAGAGGCGGGGGAGGCGGCGGGGGGGAGGGGGGGATGACATGTGAGGAGCGGGGGGGAGGACACGTGAGGACGCGGCAGCGCAGCCCTCCCTTCTCCTCTTTCATCTACCCGTCCTCCTCCTCCTCCTCCTCCTCCTCCTCCTCCTCCTCCTCCTCCTGCTCGTCGTTCGCTCCTCCTCCTCCTCCTCCTCCTCCTCCTCCTCCTCCTCCTGCTTCTCATGCTCCCCCCCTTCCTCCCAGAGTGCCCCCTGCCCCCCTGGCCCCCAGAGACATTCGCCACGAGATCCTCAGACCGCTCTCCGGCTCGCCCTCCTCCGCCGACGGCTCCCGGACGAGCCGGGCCCCCTCCCCGAGGCGGAGGCCACGCCCGCGGCGAAGGGCCCGCCCAAGGTGGACCCGAGCCTGCGCGGCGTGGGGGAGCTGACGGAGGAGCCTCGGCAGGGTTGCCAGTGGGGGGGGAGGAGGATGAGGAGGAGGGGGAGAGGAGGAGGGGGAGGAGGAGGAGGAGGAGGAGGAGGAGGAGGGGGAGGAGGAGGAGGAGGAGGAGGAGGGAGGGGAGGAGGAGGAGGAGGAGGAGGAGGAGGGGGAGGAGGGGGAGGAGAGGAGGAGGAGGAGGGGAGGAGGAGGAGGAGGAGGAGGGGGGGGAGAGGAGGAGAGGAGGAGGAGGAGGGGAGAGGAGGAGAGGGAGGAGGAGAGGAGAGGAGGAGGACGAGGTGGAGGAGGAGGAGGAGGAGGAGGAGGAGGAGGATGGGGAGGAGGAGGAGGAGGAGAGGGAGAAGGAGGAGGGGGAGGGGGAGGAGGAGGAGGAGGGAGGAGGGAGGAGGAGGAGGAGGAGGAAGAAGAGGAGGAGGGCCCCATCGGTCTGCGCACAGAAAGCCCCCAGGTTGCCCCACTTGGCCTCAACAGGCCCCCCGAGGAGTGCGAGGCGGCCTCAACACCCTGGCGCCGCCTCTGGCGCCGCCCCGCCGTTGGGGCGCTCCGCGCCGCAGGGGTTGGAGAGTATTGAGACCCCCCCCGGGCTGCTCTGGGGGCCGGTGGAGGCCAGCGGGGGGACTGCCTGGTGGGGCGGTCTGCGTGTTCTGGGCGTGGTTTCCTCAAGGCTGGAAGTTTGTCCATAGATGCTTTGCACATCGTGAGGTTGTTTTGAGCCTCTGGGGTGGAGTGAACGAGGCATGTATAAGGAAGACAGAGAGGATGGGAGAGAATGAGGCATGAGAGGAGCGAGTGAGGAATGACGGAGGGAGGAATGGAGGGATGGATCACCATGCGAAGGACGGGAGGGAGGCTTGAACGGAGGGACAGATTGACGGATGAGACAGGGAGGGGATACAGGAAGGAAGGGAGGCGGGGGGGAGGTAAATGAGAGAGGGGGAAAAGAAGGGAGGAACAATTTGAAGGATGGAAGGGAGGGTTGGAGGGAATGGGGGAGGGAGGAGCGAGGCAAGAATTTCAGCAAGGAAGGGGGGAGGGAGGAACGAGGGAGCGAGGGAAGGATCGAAGTAGCAAAGACAGGACGCATGAGAGAGGAGGCCTGGAGGGAACGAGGGAGGGAGGGAGAGAATGGCCCCAAGGATATGGTCGACGCCCTCAGCCGCGTCGGCCGCGACGATTCTGCCGCGGCCCCAGTTGCAAGCTTTGTGGCCAAGATGTTGAGAGGGGTCATGGCCCAGGGACTTCCGAGTCATGGTGTGATTGCCAGAAGGTTTCATGCACCGCTGCTGTACAGGGTGATGATATGTGGCACGGGCGGCTCATTGAGGAGCACCCTCTGCTGTACAATCCACATGGAAGTATTTCCCCAGCGTGGTCAGGCTCCAACAGCATGGCTTTTCAGTGCAGCACAGCTAGGTACAAGGCTGGGGCAACGATGTTGTAACTCCGGCAAGAAGTAAGCCCACTCTTGCAATGAGACCTAGTCAGCGTGAGTCTCAAACCGAGCGGTATTGCACTGTGGAGGTGCACGTTATGCGGTGCTATGTGGTGCAAGCTATGTCATTCAAGCTATGTGGCATGAGCTATGGAGCTCGCAGCTATGCGAAGCAAGCTGTGTGATGTAAGCTAGGCGGTGTGGAATGGAGGTGAAAGGTACTGGGTGTAAGCTACCTGATGTAGCTATGCTGTGTACTATATGTGCGGTGTACCCTATTTGGTACAGGCTATGTGGTGCGAGCTATATTGTCATCGCTCTGCCGTGTAAGCTCAGAGCACGGGGCGCCCACGAGGTGGCACGGGTGGCAGCGTGGCGCAACCTCGGCACACACACACACACACACGCACACACACACACACACACACACACACACCAAGCGCGGGGCGCCCAGAAGAGCCCACGAGGCGCCCACGCGGCGCCCGCGAGGCGGCAGCGTGGCGAAGCCTCGGCAAACCCCCTCGGCGCACGGGACGTCCACGAGGCGCCGAGGAGGCAGCACGAGGCGGCCACGTGGCGACCCCTCGGCACAGCCCCCGCAGCGCGGGGGACGCCCACGAGGAGGCGGCACGGGCGGCACTGCGTCGAGCCCTCGGCACACCCCCGGGGGCGCGGGGCGCCCACGAGGTGGCACGGGCGGCAGTGCGGCGAACCCTCGGCATGCCCCCCGAGCGCGGGGCGCCCACGAGGCGGCGCGGGCGGCAACGTGGCGAAGACCCCGAATGCCCAACCGATTACTTGAGCAACCAGAGTGGGGCTCCGAAGGGCCCGCATGAGGGAAGGAGCGCTTCGATCGTGCATGTGTACCGGAAGCTGAGCTGACGGCAGATTGACAGTACGTCGTCGCGTGCAAGCGAAACGTGATCGAGTGGCAAGAAGCAGGGTCATCTTAAGTGCTCAGGTGCTTGCCAGAAAATATACTTGAACCATTGCTGCGCTAAGACACTATTTTTTAATTGGAAGCTTGAAGCCGAGTCGAAGCCAAGGCAATTCCAATAGTCAGTTATGTGGGTTCTGTCTGATGCCACCAAAAAACACACATGTCTTAGGTGCATGCGCCAGCGAATCCCATCGACAATTGGCACACAGATATTCGCGTGTGCGATACGTATTCGAGTCGCAGTGCGATCCTCGCTAGGCGACGCAGCCCCGAGCCAGCAGTAACCCGTTACACGGTGCAGAAATGGCCAGCGCGTGTTGCAATGTCTGTGGTCGAGCAATATTTTTCGGTAGTGGATCATTCGGAGGCTGACGCATCGCAGGACGATATGAACGGCTCCCTTGCAGGGAACTTGCCAGTTCCGTCAGCAGGGGGCGTGGAAAGGAAGGGAAGGCTGCGCCAAACCTCGCCAGGCTTCCTCCAGATCCGAGGGGACCGTTGGACAAGGGATGCTCCCGGAACACCATGATGATGTTGATGATGATGTTGATGCTGGTGATGGTGATGCTGATGATGGTGATGCTAATGCTGATGCTGATGCTGATGCTGATGCTGGTGATGTCGATGATGATGATGCTGATGATGCTGATGCTGCTGCTGATGATGATGCTGATGATGCTGATGATGATGCTGCTGATGATGATGCTGATGCTGTTGATGCTGCTGATGATGATGCTGATGATGATGATTATGATGATGATGATGATGATGAGGAGGAGGAGGAGGAGGAGGAGGATGAGGATGAGGATGAGGATGAGGTTGAGGCTGATAATGATGATAATAATGATGATGCTCCGGGAACGCCTGGACCCTGGCACATCCTGGCACCCCGCAGCCGTTTCTGGCCCAGGCCCCGAGGCGGCCACAGCTCGCCCGAGCACGCGCGCGCTGCACTCCCCGCCAGGGGCGGAGGAACCGGCCCGCCGACCGCACACCATGCTCTGCCTCGCCGCCTCCCAGCTCGTCGCCCGCCTCGTTGTGTACGGGCTGATCCCCGAAGAGAGGAAGAAGGCACACGCTTGAGTCGGGCGTGCCCCTCTACAGGAGAAGCATTCAAACATAGTTCAATGTGTCGATTCTTTTTCATTTGTTTTGAACATTTTTCGGGGGGGGTATTTCATTCTGTCGTCCAAAATGCGCCCGTAGCCCGACCTGAGCACACGCGTAAACCTTCGGAGCTCCGCGCTGATTTCTCGGATCGGCGCTGGCCCCCCCCCTTGCATGCGCCGCCCCTGGCGCGCTCCGCGCGCCAGGCCGAGCGCCGATCTGGGAAGCCCGCGCGGAGGTCCGAAGGTGTATGCCCATGCCGCTTCTTGTTCTTCGCCGTCTGGCCGCTGGCGCTCCTCTACGCCACCTACCTCGCCCTCGCGGAGCTCAAGCAGCGCGCCGCTGGCGGCCTCAGCCTGGCCGTCAGCCCCTCGGTGCTGGAGATCCTGCGCTACTCGGGGCCAGGCCCTGCCGGGCGGCAGGGCGGTGGCGAGAGCTGCAAACCTCCGCAGCGGTAGCGACCTGCGGCCCGCGGGCGCCGCGACCGCGGTCCGCGAGCCGATCCGACCGGGCCAGGAGCGCCGCGGGGGGGCCGCCACTCGTCAGGGGCAACGACGGGGGATTCGGGACGATCGAAGTGGGTACGGAACGTATGGGTACAGAGCCCAACAGCAGCTCCTGCTCATTCTGAACAGGACTCGTTGTCGGTGTCGCCACGAACGGTGTCCGTTTGAGAGAGAAGGCCGCCTGCCCAACAGCGGCCTCTGTTGATTTGGGACAACGTCTGTGCTTGGGCATTGTGCCCATGTGTTGCATACCCATTTCGGGCGAGGGGTCGTCCCAGGAAGGTTCGAGGCTGGAAGCTTTTTATCTTCGTCGGTTCCTGGTCGGTGTTCCAGCCTCGGGATGCGTTCCAGCAGCTGCGCCTCGCCGAAAGCGTTCTGGGGCTGCCCGAATCGTCCCGAGCGGCCTCTTTGGAGAGCCGAGTCATGGCCCGAAAACCGAAGGAGAACGTTAGGGGAGATAGGCTCATGGGGGGTGCATCAACCCCCTGCCGCCCATTCATCGCCCAGAGGGGCCCGATGGCCACACCCCGCCCAGGAACGTGCGAACTTGCTAGTGGGGCCCCATCGCCGATCCGTCGGCGTTGTATCGCCGATTCCAGGTCGATGTTTCTCCCCTGTGCCAGCCGCCCCTGGTCGTTGCCCCTTCAGCTCGAGGAAGAGCAAAACAGCATAAGCATAATTCGTCGGAGGGCCGCGCGGATTTCCTGCGTCGGCGCTGGACGCACCCCCCGGCGGCGCTTCTGGCGCTACCCCTGGCGCGCTGCGCGCGCCAATGAGAGGGGGGGTCCGCGCAGCGTTCGGCCACGCGCAGGGGGGAGGAGGAGGAGCAGGAGGAGCAGGAGGAGGAGGAGGAGGAGGAGGAGGAGGAGGAGGAGGAGGAGGAGGAGGAGGAGGAGGGGGAGGGGGAGGAGGAGGAGGGGGAGGAGGAGGAGGCGGAGGAGGAGGAGGAGGAGGAGGAAGAGGAGGAGGAGGAGGAGGAGGAGCGGAGTTGGGAAGGGGGCAGGGGGAGGGGGCAGGGCTTCTTAGAAGCACCCCTGCTTCCTAGAGGGCGCGGGCCCTCTCTGTAGATGTAGGGCCCGCGCCTTCGAAGGAACAGCCTCATTCTCAGAAGCCTTCCCCCCTCCCCCATACCCCCCTCTGCTCGTCGCCAAAGATCCAAGAAGTCCGCGCGGAGCTCCAAAAGTTAATGCTTCTTAATCCGCGGGCGACCTGTGTGCACCGTACCGCGTGGGCGCCTCCCGGCGCGCCGTCAGTCCTCTCGACCGAGGAGCGGTACGGTGCTGGTTGCTCGGCCCTCGGAGTCGAACAGCTGTGCACCGCACCGCGCTGGAGCGGCCCCGGAATGGGAGTCGGCCCTCGGAGTGGAACAACTGTGCACCGCACCGCTTTGGAGCGGCGCCGGAAGGGGGTCCACGCATGGTACGGTGCAGCGCCCCCGTTCTTGTGTAGAGACCTTTTTGTTGTGCCTCGGCTCGCGAGGCGGCACCGCCGTGGGCCACAGGGCAGCTGGCAGCGCGAAGCGTCACAGAGTTCCAGTCTGGAAGGTGCGCTCGCGCTGTCGGCGAGGGCTCCCCCCACCACACCAGGAGTACCATCGGCGGCGCGCTAAGGGGGGGGGGCGGGTCCGTACCTGGACAATGAGTTCGAACCCTGCGGCGCAAGATACCCCCTGGACCCCCAAACTTACTAGTGAGGGTGCGGCAATGGACAGGGCATGGGTGGACAGAAATAGTCGAACCCCCAAACCACCATCCATGCTAAAGTCAACACCGATCTCGGGGACGGGGGGGTAATGAGCAACCCCCTCATGTGTGTGTGTGTGTGTGTGTGTGTGTGTTTGAGGGTTCGACTAGTTTGTCCACGTGGTGGCCTCCTCAGAAGGCTGAGAAGGCCTACGGCCCTCTCAGAAGCTTTTTCAGCCTTCTCTTTGGACCCCCAGAATGGGTATGGAAAACATTGGTATGATGCCCAACGTCAAATGTGGTCCAACAACAGTAGCGGCCGCTGTTGCACAGGCGACCCTCTGGCTCAGAAGGCTGACGCCCGCGGTGCCACCGACGGCGAGCCCCTTTCGAAAACGCACAAAAGGCATGCTGCCGGTCTTTGTACCCCTCTTTGTCCGCCCCCCTTCCGACCGCCCCGAAGCCCCCGAAGCCCCGGCGCCTTGTTGCGAATGTCCGCTCCTCTCTTGAC